CCAGCAACGCCCGCCGCGCCGCCGCCGCTGTCGTACCCGCGCCTGGCGTGCGGGTGGGGTTGGCGGGCAGCTGGCTCTCCGGGAACACTTGGCGGGCAACGCCCACCGACCTGCGGCGGGAGTGCGCCCAGCCGGCCTGCTCCCCCCACGGTCCTTAGGCTGCCGCGCCTCGCTGTCTTGCTAGCCCGCGTTTCCAGACCCTTACTGTACAGCCCATTTTAGACATTCTTTTCCCAGCTCAGGTAGGGACACAGGCTCCGAGTGTCCTTTCCAAAGCTTGGGTTTCTCATGGCGGGCGCTGTCCCTCGGGCTTGTGGCAAACCTTACCTCGTTTCTTTGTAATGCATACTTCAGCAAAGTAAATAGGAAACGGCCTTAGAGGTGACCTAGCTTCTCCCAGGTTGCAGAATTGACTTTCAAACTGAAGTCCATTCACTGGTGGACCATGCAATCAATCGTCAGTGTATATGACCATGAGACCAAAAGAACTAGTGGTGCCTGGCTACCAATGTTAACCAGTCAGAGGCGGATGGGTGTGGGAGATCCTGGACAGAGTGGGAGAACAATGTGGACTAAAACCCCAAATCATTAAAAAATAATAATAATAGGTTTGCTGGCCTGATAGAGCCTGGTGAGACCCCTGAGACTGTGGCCCCTAGTTACCCTTCACTTCTGGAACTGAACTCACTCCTGTGGCTTCCAGCCAAACAATAGGCATATGGGGTGAACGTTTACATTAGGTAGATACACTCCTTGGAGAAATCAATCATGGGAGAACAGAAGGGCAGTGTTTACACAGGGAGACAGTTCAGGGGGCAGGAGTGCATGGAGGGAAGGACACAGGGAAGAGGTAACTATGGGGAGGAAGTGGGAGGAGAGCTGTTAAACTGAGGAATTGCATTAATTAATGCATTAATGTCATGAGACAAAATGTGTATGAACTGCTATATGGAAAATGAATTTTCTCTGTAAACTTTCACTCACATCACAATAAAAATTAAAGAAAGCAAGCTGAGGTGCATTCATCTCCAGATGTACCTTGATCAAGGCTGTTCCAGGATCCTAACAGTAGTGCAGTCTGTCCACCCCAAAGCACTGGACATCACCTTAGTGAGGGATTGAGGCTATTCCCAGAGCAGTGTCGGGTACCGTAGGTGTGCAGTAAATGTCTACTCCGTTACTACTTGGTGAATGAACTGTGCCCAATCTGCCCCCTCACCATCCTTAGTTCACACAGCCATGTCCGTCTCAGTTCTTTCTGTGGGTTCTCGCCACAGTTTACAATTCCCAGAGTGATAGGCAGCGGCTGATGGGGAGAAGGTTCCCACCAATTCCCACCTCCGATTTCTGGACTTTCTACTTGGCCCTCTTCTCTTTGTAGTTGTAAAGCTGGGAAGGCGACCCAGCCAGACAGGCAGCTCAAAGGGTCTGAGACAAAGGGGCCATGGAGAGAGAGGAGGGTAGTTCATCCAGGTGAATGGGCCATGGGGGCCACAGGTCCTCTGCACCTCGGAGGGGTCAGGGCATCCCAAGGGCATCTGTCACTCAACGGACTGCAGTTGCTATTCTTTGAATCCCATAGCAGGTCACCTTCTGTCCCGAAGGCGGGAAAGGGAAGGTGGCTGTTGGTCTTATCTCTACACGCACCTTGAGGCCGGGGGAGGGTGTCCTCCTGGCCTGCTCTAGAGGTCTCACACTCTTGCTCCAAGAATTGTAAAACCCTCACCTTTTTTTGGTGGTTGGTATGACAGGTAATTGTTTTTATTGTGGTAAAAAGTACATTACATACAATTGACCATTCTGTTTGTGAGTGTGCGGTTGGTTCCGTGGCATTAAGGACATTGACGATCTTGCTGTTTTTGAGGTCTTCTTTTATCACTCCGCACAGAACTCCATATCCGTCCAACAATTCCTCCAGTCCTCCCCTCCCCCAGCCCCATAGCCTCTAATCTACTGTGGCCTCCACGCCTTTGCCCCTTTGGGAAATTTCACGTAAATATGATCAAGAGCTATTTCTCCTGGTGTGTCTGGCTCAGCACAGTATCTTCAAAGTTCACCCACACGGTGTCATGTGTCAGGCCCTCATTTCCCTTTATATGCCCCCCGTACAGATGAACCACATTCTGTTCAGCCACCATGTGCTGTGGGCACGTGGCTTGACTACTGTGCACAGTGAACACAGAAAACAGGGACCCAAACAGGTTGTAAAGCTCTCAACTTTTAATATACAAGAACGCAGTCCCCTCTGCCCCCTCCCCACTGGGTGCTGGGATCTCCTCGCCTCCCCTGCTCGGTGGCAAGTGGAATTCCTGCTACCGCAGGCTTCTGGGGCTGAGCCCAGCAGCAGGAAACTGGTGGCCGCACGGAGCTGTGTCAGGCCTGTCCGCTGCCGTGCTCCTCCCTGTGCCGTTCCACCCAGCAGGAGCTGGAACCGTGGCATACTCAGGAACACTGGGGGACTAGAGCCTGAGGACTGGCCCCAGCAACATGGAGACACTCACCAAGCTGATCCCCCTTTGCCTCCTCATGCACCCCTCCCCAGACCCCTTCCCCTGCTCAGCCCACCTCCCTGGAAGGAGTCTGCCTTTTCACGCACACGCAGGGGTGAGAGGTCAATCACCCCGTCTGCACTGCTCCTGCTTCTGAAGCAGACCCCCACTTGCCAGTCTCACTCCTCTCCATCTGCTCTGGGGACAGACCCAGCAGCTCCCATCCCGACACCATAGGGGAAACTCCCACCCCGGGACACCCAGGAAGCCAGCTGTCTCACCCGGGGGGCAGCTCTCCAAAGCTCCCGTCTCCCACACCTCAGACAGGTTATAGGGGTCTAAGGCATTTGACTACTAACAAGAAGGCTGGCAGTTCAAACCCACCAGCCACTCCCTGGAAGGAAGGTTGGGCAATCTACTTCCATAGTGACACTGCCTCAGAAACTCCAGGAGGGGTGGCTAGGAGTCTGATGCGACTCCACGGCAGTGAGTTGTTTTTTTTTTTTTCAGTTTGTGGCCCCTAGCCACCCTTCATGTCAGGAACTGAACTCACTCTTGTGGCTTCCAGGTAAACGACAGACAGACATATGGGGTGAACATTTACATAAGGTAGATAACACTCCTCAGAGCTAGTGGGAGAACAGAAGGGCAGTGTTTGCACAGGGAGACAGCTGGGGGGGCAGGAGTGCATGGGAGGGAAGGGTACAGCGAAGAGAGCTGTTACACTGTGGGGAACTGCAGTTAATGTCATGAGACAATGTGGGTGAACTACTGTATGGAAAATGAATTTGCTCCATAAACTTTCACCCAAATCATGATAAAAAATAAATAATATAGGGGCGCTGTGCTGCCCACCCTGGGGACTTGGGGGAAGTGGGGCACTCCAGGAGATAACCCAGGGTCCTTGGCTGCACGACCCTTGGCAACTGTCCTGGCCACCTGTAGGGTTACAGGCAGCAGCTGTGTTTGTGAGAGGAGGACACTGAGGGAAAGGTTCTGTATTGGGACCCACCTTGGGTCCACCCTCGAGGTTCAGGGGTTGGAGAGGCGTTGTACTGGCCCCGACATACAAGCCTCCCCACCTGTCCCACCATCTCTTGGCTGGCTCCCAACACAGGCCCGGGACACTTGGCCCGGGACAGGAGCACATCCTTGCTGGGGCCACTGCCGAGACGGCCAGCAGGCTACCGAGTCCTAGAGGGGGGGGCGTGTGAGAGGCTTGCTCAGGATCCTGTGTCCTCCCAGGCCTCAGCCACAGCAGCAGCCACCACTACAGGGCAGAGCACAGGGCCTTCTCTGAGACACACTGGGGACGCCTCCAGGTGCAGCAGGCCCCAACTGGCCACTGCAGGCGGCCAGAGGGCCCAGGCCTGCTCCCGAGGCCAGCTCCAGCACGCCCACGGCTCCCAGTGCCAGCTGCCTCTGCGCTCCGCGGCCCTCTCGCTCACCTCAGCCGCGCTTTTCCAGGACTTCTGTTCCATCAGGAACCCCCGCGGGCAGGTTGGCTCATGCGCCCGTGACATCCTGCACCTGCTTCCGGAGCCGCAAAGCACCTCCATGCCAGGCCTCTCCAGAGCCCGGCACCCCTGGGCTTCACACTGCACCCCAATCCTCCCCTCTCCCCCCAACATGGTGGACAGAGCCTCCCTCATCACGGCTCCTCACACAGTGAGACTGAGGCTGGACCACAGGGCAGATACTTGGTGCTGGGCGGCCATAGGTCGCACGGGGCAGTGGCGAGGTGAGGTGCCTGTGTGCCCAGGAGCTGAGGGATGACTGCTGTCTGCTGGTGCCCGGGGCTCACATCGTGGGCTGGCACAGAGTCCCGGCTTACCTCCCCAGCTGCAGATCCCAAAGCCCTGAGGACGGGGTCCTCCCACCCAGGCCACCCTCTCGCCTGCCTGGGCTTGGCTAGGGCTCCTTGGCTCACTTCCTGTCTTGCCCTTTTGTGTGTCTCCTCACACCGCCTCCCCTTAGATTTGAGAAGCCAAATCCTTATCCTCAAAGGCTCTCTCCTCCCACTCCAGATCCACACCTGGATCTGAAGGGGCCCGGGGGAAGGGGGAACCTGGAACAGAGACCATGAAGGAGTATTTACGAACCTCCCCCCATCTGGACAACACACACACACAATGACAGACACACAACCCCTTCACTTCCCAGCTCCGCACTTTGCATGGGTCTGACAAGCCCTCCTGGCCCACGGGGCCTCGGCAGCAGCATGTCGTCCACAGGCCTAGCCAGGACACCTCTCTCACCAGGAGCACCCCATCCTCACCGGGTGTGCCACCGGCCCCTGACCAGAAGAGAGCTGGAGAAGTTGGTGTATCCCTCAAGAGCTGGCCACACAAAGGCCAGCTCCTTGGAGATGAGCTTCCAGGCCCCCAGCTAAGGCCCCAAGGCACCCCACCACCCAGCCCGTCCCCACAGATTCAACAGCAACCAGCCTGTGCACCTGACACTTCAAAGCTGGGACACCAGGAGCAGGGAGTTTATTGCATCTAAAGGTCTGGTGGGAAGCAAGGGGTTTGGTGCAGGAGCCAGGGGCCAGGCAGGGTCTCCTCCCAGTCAGTGAGCTCTGGGCTACCCCCAGACGGTGGGGAGGGGGCGGGAGGAATGGGAGGGCCCTCAGCAGTTGAGCCTTCAGACAGGCCCCTGCCCCGCGTGCTCAAGGAAGGGTCAAGCCCCCAGCTGGCTGACACTGTGTAGGGAGGGGGAAGACCCCCCCAGGCCTCCTGACTTCAGCTGGGAGGTGGTCCTGTGTCGTCCCCCCCTGCCCCCCCCCCCGGCCGGGAGGCACTTAGGGTCTGTTATGGACTCAATGGTATCCTCCCACAACACATGGAGGAGTCGGCTTCCTCCACCTTTTGCTGCCATCCCCTTGAAAAGGAGGTTTAGTTAGGAGGCCAGGAATGTGGGGGACCACTTCAGACATAAAAAGACAGGATTAAACACAGAAGCCGGAAACACAGATGGAGGAAGACAGACCCCACCACCAGGTCACCAGGGAACGCAGCACAGCAGCTGACGAGAGACACGGCCCTGCCCCTAGAGCTGGCCCCTGGAGCCAGACTTCTCGTCTCCTGAACTATGAGAAAATCCATTCCATTCCTGCCTTTCAAAGCCCCTCTTGTGGTCCTGACAGAGCAGCACTAGGGCCTAAGGCAGGGGTACGGGGGCCATGGGGAGTCCAGTGGAAGTGGCGTGGCCCCTCCCTGGTATGATCCAGGCTCTGACCTATGTTGGTAGCCCCGAGTTGACCAGGGCTATGGGCAGTGGCCACGGTGGGGATAGCACTCTGCAGCCTGGGACGAGAAACTCCAGGGTGGGACCTTTGAGCCCCGGGGAGCAGGCTGGCAGGCGGGAGACCACGTCAGTCCTTCTTGCCGGCTGGGGCCAGGCTTCGAGAGGACAACTTGGCACAGCCAGGAGACTGTGAGGCCCCCACAGGGGAGGCCCGCTGCACCTTGTCCAAGGCAGTCTTCTTGACAGCAGCAGGAGAGACCTTCTCCTGGTCAGCTATGGACTGCAGCTCCCTAGGGAGGCCACACGGAGCTCAGCACTGGCCTCTAGCTCTGCTAGACCCCAAGCGTCCACCAGGGAGGAAGGCAGCAAGCCAAGGCTGCCAGTGCCCACCAACCCAGCACCACTGCCACCTCAGGGCCTTTGCACATGCCCCGCCCTGGCCACCCTGCCTGAGACAGCTGCACAGCTCACCCTCACTCTGTTCACATTGGCTCAGGGTCACCCACTTTGGCCACAACTCCCAGCGCCTGGAGCCTCCCAAGCCCTCATCCCGACCATGGTGATGCTGTATCTACCTCCCCATAACGGGGGCCGAGGGCCTGGGCAGAGCACCCACCGCGTGCGGATGCAGGCGGCTTCCACGGCGTTGATGAGCAGCGAACGGAAGCCACCGCTTTCCAGCACATGCAGGGCATGGATGGTGGCCCCCCCCGGGGAGCAGACATTGTCCTTGAGCTGGCCTGGGTGCTGCTCTGAGTCCAGGAGCATCTTGGCGGCCCCCTGCAGCCAGAGAGAGGGGCTGATGGGTATGTGGGAGCCCAGGACCATGGCAGTACCTGCTAACCGCACCTGAGTGCCCCAACGGGAGGGCTCTTAGAGGGCACCCCCAGAGGACAAGCGGAACACTGACCAGCAGTGCCTGGGCACCGAGGCGGACCGCCAGGCGTCGAGGAAGCCCCATCTTCACACCACCGTCAGCCAGGGCATCCAGCGCAGTGAATGCCTGTTGGGGGGGGGGGCATAGCAACTGAGCCGATGCCCCGCCTCTCCTTTGGGAATATTCTGCCTGTAGCTCTGCCCACAGCCAGACCCCAAGGCAGCCAGTTCCCACAGTGTCAGATCCCCACCCAGGGCCTCCCAGGGCAGGCGGAGCAGATGGGCCCGGAGATGCGGGGAGCTGCGCCACCCGTGTGGCCCATGTACTCACGTAGGCAGGGCCGCTGCCGCTGAGCCCGGTGACGGCGTCGATGAGGTCCTCCTCCACCTCCGTGCAGAAGCCCACGCTGCTCATGAGCTGCTCCAGGAGCTGGCCGTCCTCCACCTGGGCGTGCGTGCCCGTGGCGTACACGGTGGCGCCCTCCTGCACCACCACCGACGTGTTGGTCATGCAGCGGATGACTTTGGGGGCCAGCTGGAATGCCCTCAGCTTCTGGAGGGGAAAACCTACTGCACGTCCATCCTGGGCCTCGCCCCGGGTGTGTACACCAACCCCCAAACCCCTACTGCCCTCTGACCTTCTCGATGGAACTGATGGTGACGCCGGCAGCACAGGACACCACGATGTGGCGGTCCTCTATGTCAGCCCCGATCTCGTCCAGGATGAAGGGGATGATGGGCGGCTTCACAGCCAGGAATAGCACATCACTGTGCTGCACCGTCTCCTTGTTGTGGGGCGTCAGTGTCACCCCCAACTTCTGTGGAGAGCACAGGTGGCCTCAGCCTGCCCAGGGTCTGAGGGCCCGGCCCAGACCCACCTCCACATTTGGAGCAGCACAGAGACAGCTGGGGGCCAGGCATGGGGCTCTGGACCCCCTCCTCCACCATCCTCCAGAGAGTGCAGGCGGATCTGCTCCAGAAGCGAGCCCTCTCCCACAGGAAGGCACACACCGTACCCTGCCACCACCTTGGCCCACCCCAACCTCAGGCTGCAGGACCAGGGTCTCCACCTGGGAGCCTGTTTCTGCCCCTGGGTCTGGCACCCTGACTCAGCTATGGCAAAGCTCACTCAGTCTCCATGCTGTGGTCCCCACCTGCCTGGCCCCCAGAGGCCTCCCAGGTGGTGACCCCTGCTCAAACCGTGGCTCCATAGAGGCCCCCAGCCCAGACCAGCAAACACCCCCTGCCTCCCAGCTGCATGTTGGGTAGTCACCCAGACCCCAGGGGCAGAGGAGAGGGAGACAGAAGCAGGATCCTGGACAGGGAGAGGGTGGGCCAGTCTGCCAGACCCCAGCCACTGGGCTCCTAACCCACCTAGGCAAGACCACCCTCACCCCCGACACACTGGAGCCCTGCCAGGACTCAGTGTCCCTACACACACACACACCCGCCTACCCTGAGGGCAGAAACCGTGCTCAAATCCATGTCCGGGGAGCTGGCCATTATCTTGTGGGCAGCCAGGACGCCTGGGGGGGACAGAGTTCCTCCCTCAGGGCCAAGCCCGGCCCTCCCTCCCCCACGCTGCCCAGGAAGGACCGCGGAAACCTCCCGTCTGGCGCATCTGCCCGACAGCAAAGGGACTGAAGCCCCCGTTCCGCTTAAACTCAGAGGAGGGCGTGCCCTGCGGCACCTACAGGCACCCCCCGCCACGGTGAAGCGCCTGGCCCAGCCTCGAGGGGGACCGACCTGCTGCCGTGAAGCCCTTAGCTAGGGCGAAGGCCAGCTGGCCAGCCCCGATGAAGCCCACGCTCATGGTGTCGGCGCCCGCGCCTGGCTCCGGCTCCGCAAGTTCAGCTGGGGGACGGGATGTGGCAAGCGGTGGGCTCAGGTAGGCAGAGCCAGGAGGCCACGCCCCTGGCGCCGGCAGCCCCGCCCCCGCCCCATCCCCGCGGCTTGTCTGCTGGGCTGCCCTGCACCCCCCCACTTGCCCCCATGGTCCCGCAGACCTCCGCAAGGGGTCTGCCGAGCACGTCTCCTGAGGTGGGTGCGGAGGGTTCCCACGTCGAGCCCCTCCCCGCGCCCGCGTCCCGCCCCCGGACTCGGGGCGCCGCCGCGTCTCCCGCACCGGTCCCCAGAGCCGCCCCGACTCGCCCCGCCAGCCGCCCCCACGCCCGCCGTCCAGGCAGCCTGCCCACCGCCCAGTTCTCGCTGCCCGCCGCCCCCCGCCCGCAGCGCACGCCCGCCACGCGGCACCTGAGGCTCCGCCCCTCCACCCCAGCCAATCCGCGGTGCGGCCGCCGGGCGCCGGCCAATCGGGAGGCGCGGTCGGGCCGGGGGCGGTTGCATCATCCGCTCCGCGCCCTTGGCCCGGGCTCCAGCCTGGCGCTCCCAGGCACTCCCCGGCGCGCTGCTGTCCCGCGCCGGGGGCTGGAGAACGGGGGACGGCTGGGGGACGGAGGGCGCGGCCGGAATGGGGTGGTGGGGCCCTCGGGCGACCCTGGCCGGCGCCCACGCGGGCTCTGTGTCCGCCACGTGGACACCGACACGTCAGGCCTGCGGCTGCACGGCATGGCGGCAAATACTACTTAGCAACGCGGACTGTGTGGGGTTGCTTCTCATAGCGACGCTGCCTCGGGTTTGGGAACAGTTTACTAAATGTGGACATTTAAAGCGTATCCCCGCTTTGAGAATGTGTTAAGTCACTTTACTCTCCTTTTTGAAAATAGTTTATTTTTACCGTTGAGAACATACACAGAACAAACGCCTGTCCAACAGTTTCCAAGTGTGCGACTCAGCGAGGTTGGTCACACGCCTCAAGTGTGCAACCATTGTCACCGTCCATTGCTGAGTTGTGCTCCCCTCCCCTGTAACACACACTCACCATCTGGTTTCATTATTATCCTGAACCAAAACCCAAACCAAACCCACGCTGTTGCCTGGATTGCCACTCAGCGACCCTGTAGCACAGAGGAGAGGTGCCCCATGGCGTTTCCAGGCCGACTGCCGCTTCTTTCTCCCGAGGAGTGGCTGGTGGATTCCAACTGCCAACCTTCTGATCAGCTGCTGAGCGCTTAACCACTGTGCCATCAGAAGGCACAAACCCCCTGACCCAGAAGGCTCACAGCACAGAGCTGGCCCAGGCCTATCTGGACCTTGGAGTCCTGGGCAGAGCCCGGGATGGGGAGCCCATTCATTCTCTCTCAGACGTGGATCCCTCCCTCAGCACCTCTTGGTTACCTGGTCCAGCACCCAAACTGGTGTGGAAGCTGCTAGGCAATGTGGCCATGTTACCAAGGGAGGTGTTCAGCAAGTAAAGTTTAGGGGTTGGTCCTACAGTGCCCCCACCTCCTCCCTCCGTTCCCCAAACCCAGAGCCCCTTGTCCCCTGACTTCTCATCTTTGGGGTTCCTGGAATTTTTTGGCCCCGGGTTTAGCAAGAATAAGGTTTTCCCTATTCCTGTCCACCCGCTAGTGCGTTTGGGGCTATTCTGAGTGGAGCCTGCATTAGACCGGAAGGGTAGTGTGGGGTCCCAGTTAGTAGAGGGGATGAGGGCAAAGTAAGCCTGTCATCCCCAGTGGACAGGCACCCTACTGTAAAATGCCTGTTTTCAAGCGGCAAAAACAAACAACCCACACAGAACAGAAAATGCCCCTCTGGACGGGCTGCACCACTTGAAGATGCAATGGGTTAGTGAATTGTCCACGTGGAAACGGTTGAAGTTGTTGTGGTGGTTAAGTTTGCGTGTCAACTTGGCTGGGCCTGGTTAAGTGGCTGGGCAGCTGGATGAGACTGGTAATCGACTCCATGGCGGAATCTACTGTGGGCAGCTGAGTAGCTGCCTTAGGGATGTGGTCTGCTTCCTGTATATAAGCAGAAGCTTTGGGGAACAGTCTCTAGCATATGGCACGCTTGGACCCTGCATGTGTCGTTGCTCAGCAGCCTACTGTGTTCTGCCGACCTTGGGACTTAAAATGGACTTAAGTTAATGGCCTGCCGTGTGGTTTGGTAACATCGGGACTGTGCCATTTTATTTGTCGACCTTGGGCTTATCAGCCTCAGCAGCCAGTAACTGTCAGAGTGAAGAGATGCCTCTAGCTCCAGTGGGCCCGGAGCAGGAGGCAGAGCTGAAGCCCAAGTTGAAGGGCTTTCACCCAGCCCCTAGAGCCTGGCACTTTGAACTCAGACTTAAAGTCTCCAAACTATAAGGGAATAAAGGCCTGGTTGTGAAGGCCATCCCATTTGTGATATATTCCTGTCAGAGCAGCACTAGGAAACCAGAACACTTGTGTAGGTTTTGTTGTGTATTTTCTCACCACAAAAATACAGAACTACCGACATCCCTGTGATCAAGTGGGTGAACGTTGGCAAGTGGCCTTCTGCCGTGCTGACCTGGAGCCCTGGTCCACTTCCTTCCTGTCCCCTGCTTGGGACTTTGCACGTTTAGGGTGAGGGGAGAGCTGGGGTGCAGGTCCACTGGACAGGGAAGAGATGGGGGAATCGGTGACCAATCAGTCGTTCCAGAAGTTCGGCTGAAAAAGGAAGGAGAGGAACCAGGATCCCTCCCAAGAAGGTGTCTAGGCCTCCCCACTGAGCTGGGAAGAGGTGGCCCATGTGCCCCTTTGTTACCTGTACTGTGTCCCCCTGCCCTGCCTCTCAGCCAGCAAGGGGCCTCAGAACACCTGCAGACCAAGCAGTTGCCTGCCAGGAATGCCCACCCCTCCACGTAGAGGGTGGTGGGCCAGTGGTGTTTGTCTGGGGATCCAAGTAGGTCTCCTGGCCTCATGCTGTGAATGTCAACCACTCGGCCTTGGCTGGAAGCACCCTTCTAAAGCTGCTGGAGTGCATGGGGCCAGCACCCCTCCACTAGGACCATACCTGGACCCGGGAGACCCCTGGTGGGTGGAGGGATGCTGAGAGCCGCAGGGTGAAGCACAAGCTCGTGCCACCCTCCCCCCATGGCATGCCCCTCCGAGCCACCCTCCGATGTCTCTTACATGTCAGCCACCCACTATGTCTCAATGGAAGGGGAGGAAGACCCTCGTCCCTCCTTCTGAGGCTGGGTGAGCCCTCTGGCAAGGAGCCTCCAGCCTTCTCCTCATCCCAAGGGTCCAGGGAACCCCTGAGCCACCAGTCCCTCAGCCAGAGCCCAAGCACTCTGGCGGGCAGTGGCTCCTGAGTATAGCTGGCCACAGCCCCAAGGACAGACAGCTGGACCAGGCCAGGTGCAAATCAAGGTGGTGTTTATTTCCTGCCCCAGGGCCTGAGGTGGTGAGTCCAGCAGGATGAAAGCTGCTGTGGCGGCTGCCTCCTGGGCTCAGGGCTGCGGGTGGCTGGGGCCTGCTCTGGCCTGATGCAGTCAGGCTCTTTGTGCGAGAAGCTGGCTGGAGGGTGGAAGGTGAGAGCTCCACGTGGCTCGTGGTCAGGGACCGCTGGATACGTGAGAAGTTGGAGCCTTTGCGGACCAGGGAGATTTCCAATGCCCGGGCTTCCTGTTCCCGGGGAGGCCCTGGGTTCTGGCCTCAGCTAGCCTCTCACCCTATGGCAGCCCTGCTCACCAGGCCAGCCTACCCTGGGCCACAGGGGCTGTCTGGAAGTGGCAGAGTTTCCAAGTGAACACCGTGTCCAGACCGAGTGTGGTCTCGGCAGTGCTGGGGTCACCACAGGCCTCTCCGGGCCAGTTGCTCGGGTCTATTGTTTTGGGTACACGCAAAGGTGAGCGAGGCCACCTCTGATCTGCCACGCCCCTTCTCTGCACTGGCTGTCCGTCTGTCCGTAGAGCGCCTCTGTCAGCACACAGCCTCCCCACAGGCTTTCCTCACTTCTCTTCCTGACCCTGGGCCCACCTCTGGGAAGCGGCCCCCTGTCCAGGCTGAGTGTGCTCTCCAGACCTGGAGGGTGCATTGGACGCCCTTCCAGCCCTCTAGCCTCAGTGTCCCCCTCCACAGAATGGGTTGACCTGCTTCCAAGTTCCCGGGTCACAGAGCAACCAGCCCTGGGGCAGGGGTGGGAAGAGAGAAAGGGACAGAGGGAGAGAGTAGGGGAGAGGGCAAGTGGGGGGGAGAGAGAGGGAGAGAGAGAAAGCAGGAGGGGTGGAGAGGTGGAAGGGGGCAAGAGAGAAGGGGGACAGCAAGACAGAGACAGTGAGACAGAGACAGAAAGACAGAGACAGACAGCAAGACAGAGACAGTGAGAGAGAGACAGAGACAGCAAGACAGAGAGAGACAGAGACAGCAAGACAGAGACAGAGAGACAGAGAGAGACAGAAAGACAGAGACAGACAGCAAGACAGAGACAGTGAGAGAGAGACAGAGACAGTGAGAGAGAGACAGAGACAGCAAGACAGAGACAGTGAGAGAGAGACAGAGACAGC